AGCATAATCTTCAATTATCTTCAGATATGTGATAGGATGGTTCTAGAAACAATCATGTGCTGACCTATATGTACTTCTGATCTTTGTTTTTGGCTGCTAAATTATGTTCTTTCATTTAAAAAAGAATCGTGTTCCTTCCATCAGAGATTTTGAGTGTCTTTCCAAAGGATGCAAGAAGTGCATAAAAGGGGTATAAAGAACAGGAGTACTTGTGGCACCTTAGAGACTAACAAATTTATCAGGGGTATGTGAGCTGTTTAAGTTATACACAGTCTCCATTTTAAAATCAGATTTAAAAATTGAATTTTTGGGGGATGTGGGTGGAAGGGAGTGAAAGTGAGACCATTTGTACTGTGTTTAAAGGATGTTGAGATGTCTTTTTACATCAGCAGGATCCCCATGGACAGTTAGTGCACAGCAGGCTATTGTGGGGTAGATGCTCACCCCAACTTTTCATGAATTAAATGTTTGTGTAGACAAGCCCCCAACTTGTATTTGGCAGTGTGGGATGTGGAGTTTTTCTAATACTGCTGCATATATCTGGACATGAGATCTTGGTCTCTCCTTTAGCATAGAAGAAATGTGCAATTCTGTATCATTTGGTAGGTGTGGAGCGATTGTGGAACCATCAACATTGAATGTTTTCTGTATGTTGTTACCTTTCTGATATTGAGGTATGTCTTTGTCCTCTTGCGCTTTTTTTTTTTTAAGAATAAGAATAGCCTCCATATTTTACGGTAATACTGTTGTAGAATCTACACCCACTCTTCCATCGCTTAGTTAAATACCGTCTCAAGCTATTTCAGTGCTCATGGTTTTAAAGGATAGTGATTTTAACTGTAGCAACAGCACAACGTGGACTGCTTAGCCTCTTCAGAAGTTACAGAATTGTCTTGTTGATCAATTTTGTTATGAGCATGGGACAGGATTGGTCTATATTGTGTTCTTCCCCTCTCCTCACACTTTTCTTCCAATAACCATATTCTGAAAGTAATATATTAAATGAAGAGGCATGAACAAAAGCTTGTCCTGCATTGAAGTTTGTTCTGGGTTGATCTGGGACCATATTCAAAACATTCTTGTCATTAAACCATAAATTATATCCTCCGAAATCCTGACAATTTGTAGTAAAGCAAAAAGTGTTACTAGAGTTTAAGTATTGTACTCTAATATTATGTATGAGAGTACATTGCCAAGATTGTTTTCCTGTTGTTTTTTGAACCCTACAAAGCAGAATACTCATCTTCAAACTTTGTGCTTCACTGAACCTGGCACTTTTCCTTGAAAATAATTTTACAATGGAAACCCTTGGTAACATACAGAGAGCATTTTAAAATGCAAATAGTATATCGGAACCGTGTAGTAGTCTTATTGACTGTAAGGTATACACAACTTGTTAGTAACATACATAGTGTAACACCAAGGTTACATATTTAAACCCAAAAGGCAGAGAGTATGAAGTAATAATTAAGGTTCTCATAGTAATAGTAAACCATATTGTGCAATATATTCATGTATGCATTTAACAACCTAGTTAGCAACACTCTTTGGTAAATAGATGCATGAGTCAGTGTTGGACCTGCATCCAGCCTTCCTCTAGGGGAAATGTATATGTGTTTGATAACATGTGGGAATCTGAGACTATGGCTACACTGCCTCTAACTCAGGGGTTCTCAAACTGGGGGTCGGGACCCCTCAGGGGGTCCTGAGGTTATTACATGGGGGTCGCGAGCTGTCAGCCTCCACCCAAGCCCTGCTTTGCATCTTGCATTTTTAATGGTGTTAAATATATAAAAACATTTTTTTAATTTATAAGGGGGGGGTCGTACTCAGAGGCTTGCAGTGTGAAAGGGGGTCACCAGTACAAAAGTTTGAGAACCACTGCTCTAACTGTATTAATGAAAACAAGGTACCTTTTAGTTCTGCGCTCAGTGTCCACACAGGGGAGTTACAGAACAGCCCTTTGGTGCACACTGCTGTTTATTCCCATGTAGTCTGAACAATGGGGCACTGTAGACAAGCCTTGAGAGGAGCTCCTCAGAGTCCTACTTCTGAATATTTTTGACTTTTCCAAAATGGGAGAAGCAGAAAATGTCCCCAAATTAGTTTTAAGAATAATAATAAAAAAAACTCAAACCTACACATTTAGACAGAATTGTTATATGAATATAGCACTATGTGCTATGCTACATGATTACACTATTGAAGCCTTGAGTCAGTTTGTATCATTGAAATTGGTAATCTATACCAGCAACTGATCAGAAGAGAACTATGTTGTTTTTTTCCCCCCCATCTGAACAACAAGATTACAGGTGAGGTTCTTGTTATACAAAAATGGGTTTGTTCCAATAATCACAAAGCAGATATGGAGGGGTAAATCTAATCTCTTTCCAGCAACTCTGCAAAACTAACATAACATCATTAATTCAAGGATGTGCTCCTATATCATAGCTTTTTCTGACACATTCTTTGATCCCTATAGGACCTATTAAATCTAGAAGGTGGCTTTAATAATTAAGGTTAGATCCTTTATATCTTGCACAAGAATCATTACATGTATTCAGATCCTTCATAGCTATTTGTTTTATTTAACAATGCATGGTGTTAAGATAAGATTGCACACTTTCTTTCTTTGAAGGGAAAAGAGTCAAAACAGACTGTGCCTGCTTTATTTCTTGCTCCCCATTGCTAATAAACTAAAAACATTGCTTACAGTTCTAAGTGCTTAGTCCAACAAGAATTATCTGCAGTCTTCTGTTATACACTATACAAGACTACAAAGCTTAAATTTGGTTCTTCAGCACCCTGATCTTGCATACAATTTTTAGAAAATAAATTCTTAACAGATCAACAAGAGGATATTAATGAGTGGAAGAAATATAAAGCATTTATAAATACCATTTAAATATTTAATACCTATATTAAATGACACACCCCTTTGGTGGCATGTCCCTTATATAGGTAGAAGTAGGAAAAGACTCATGGGCATATCAGGGAAAAGCATCGTTTGCAACCCTGCTTTAAATTGCACATATAACCATCTGGAAAAAAACCAGATAATTTTGAATTCTCAGGAGATGTTTGGTACACAAAGTTTAGACTAATGATCATGACTATAGAGAGAACCATGCATTGACACCATCCTGCAAGCTATAAAGCTAACTCTGTGAAATGCATGTTTTTCAAAACAGGAATTGATTGTCCATCTTATTTGATTTTGATACTTCAAGATTTTAGGTATTCATGGAGACTTCCATACTACATATGTTCTCTATCACTATTAAACAATAATGCAGTGTGAAGTGCAGGGTCTTCAAATTGTGTGTCCATCCCTTGTAGTGTGGAATAAGATCTCATTGTGTGTGTTGCTCTCTGTCTTTTTTTTCAGTGTTGTTTATACAGAAAACTTGTTTAATCACTAATTATCCCCTTTTTTTGTTTCCCTTAGGCAGAGAATCCTCCCAGTGGTCCCGATTGTGGTTATGGTTCTTTTCACCAGCAGTATTGGCTAGATGGGAAGATAATTGCTGTGGGTGTAATTGATATTCTTCCATACTGTGTGTCCTCTGTGTATCTGTACTATGATCCTGACTATACTTTCCTATCTTTGGGAGTCTACTCTGCATTAAGGTAAGAGGAGAACATTTTTGATCTTCAGTTAGTAATAATTGATATTTGCTCTTAAATTTGAGCTTGTGTACTGTATTTCAAACCAAATCTTATAGTGGAGATATTAAGCAAGAGTTTCTTGTTTAATTTCGATGAGGGAGAAGCTTTTAGGGGGAAAATCCCTGTATGTAGTTACTCGAGATTTAGCTTAAGTTCTGAACATTCTCAATATTGTCTACTAGTATTCAAGCAGCTATAAAATTTCCATGTAGATGGAAAATATAGAATTAAATTTAGAAGAGGGAAGACAATATTGAAATTAAAGGGTTTTTTTTTTTAATTTGCTTCATATTTTTATTTGGATTAGGAAATGGAGTTTTTAAATGAAGGTTTTTATTTATTTATTAATCAAGCTTTATATCACAATAGACTAGATTGTGCCATTCTTAGGCCAGGTCTACACTACAGACTTTTATTGGTATAACCACATTGCTCAAGGGTGCTCAAAATTCACACCCCTGAGCAACATAGTTATGCCACCCTAACCCCCTGTGTAGACTGCGCTCTGTCGGTGGGAGAGCTTCTCCTGTTGACAGCTATAGCCTCTCATGGAGGTAGATTAACTATGCTAATGGGAGAAGCTCTCTCATTGGTGTAAAGAGCATCTTCACTTATGTTCTTTAAGTGCAGACCTGCTCTTACTCATGTGAAAGTAGTCTTTCACTCCTCAGGTAATCCCATTGATTTCAGTGTTTATTATATCTCTGAATTTTTTTTCAGCAAATAAACTGCCAAAAAATGCATTTTTCAGCTGAACAAAACTCAAAAATTTGATACAAATTCAACAAATAGTTTAGGACAAACAAATTTTTGTCAGGACTGAGATACTGTCCACAAAACAAGAAGAGATGAGTGAGGAGGAGGAAGTGGGGTGATGGTGCTCTCCTTATAACTTTTAGCCTAGTGGTTAGGCCACGCAAGTGGGATGTGGGAGACCCCAGTTCAATTCCTCACTCTTCCTGATGTGGAGAAGGTATCAGAACTTTTCTCCCACACTGCAGGAGAGTGGCCTAGCCACTGGGCCATGGGATACTCTGGTGTGGGTGTCTCAATCTGTCCTGTTGAAGCAGTTTATAAATAGCTTTAAATAGTCAATGGAGCTGGGACTTGAACTTGGGTCTCCCACATCCTATGTGAGTGCCCTAACTACCAGGCGCTAAAGTTATTGTGTCCCTCTGGCCCAATGGCTATTCATCGTTGTTCATAGTGGCAATTCATAATGACCACCACCATCTCCTCCTCCTATTGTGTTAATCTATCCCTTTAAAAATGCTTGAAACAAAATGTTTTGGAGAGAGTGAAACATGTTTTGTCTCACCTGGAATGGATTTTTTCAATTTGCTGAAATGTTTTAAATTTTTGGTTTTGTTTAATCTGAATCAAAATTATATTGTTCCGTTACCTTCTGGAAGGGCCAGAGAACTGAAAAGTCAGTTATTCACTCAGCTCTGGTGTTTACTATCTTCAGTGGGGCTAATTGATGAGTTAAGGACCTGCTGCACATGAATAAGGATGACAGAATCTGTACTCAAGGAAAAATATATCCATTTTATTGTGGACATTTAATAAAAAAAAAAAATCAGCAAGAAAGCTATTATTGATTGTGAAATGAAAATTATAGAATGTTAGATACATACATTAATATACAATTACCATGAAATTTGTTTAGTTTTTTTATTTTCTCTGTCAAAATTTAAGAAAGGAAGAGCATCTATCCAGAACATTGGCTTTTATGATTAATAAATAATTACCTAAAATTGGTTAAAGAAAAGCCCTGCCCACAAATATATGATACCTCAATAATCTGAAGTCTGTGAAATTGAAGAAAAAGTCTGGGCTACCAAATGAATGCTAAATTTTCTTTAAAGATCAGTGCTTGCTGGTTAGTATAATTCACTTTAAGTATTAATTGAATTAAAATAGCAGTTCAATATTTAAAGCATATTAGTTATTAACTTTTCTTACAACATACTTCATTGAGATATACCATTAAGGAGAGGAGACAAGAGAAAATGCTGATTTAAATGAGACCAATGTCACTTTTATTGATTACCTCAATTTATTTAATGTAGTTAATTGTGGTACTGAACACCAAGGCCCCCATCTTGTAGCCTTAAATATGTGCTTTACTTTAAGCATGAGTCATTCAGTTGAGTTCCCTTAAGAATTTAAAGACTACTTAAAGTTAAGCAAGTGTGTACATCTAGTAGGAATAGGGTGAAAACCTTTTACCAGTAGATTATGTTCAAATATTTAATTGAACACTGCCAACTTGAAATGTAATCATCTATTAACTGAGTCTGCTTACCACTGAGTGCCCCCTCCTGGCCAAATGTGGCATCATAGCTCCTTGTTGAGCTAGCCCCCCCGTCAACGATCACTCCGGTGTGGCAGTTTCTCTGCTTGCTGGTAACTCATCCAATGACTCAGCCCTCTGGCTAGGTCACAGTCTTTGATCCACCCCTTCTGGGGTCATAGTTATCCAAATTAAAAATCCCCCAAAACATCTTAACATAAAACATTCAGCGTCTTCCCTGTTTGATCAGAATTTCTCCCAGGCCTACCTGCCTGCCTGGAGAGCTTTTCCCCAACTGACTCAGGGCCCTGCAAGAGCCTTCTTGCTCTTTGTACTTTTTACAGGTACAGTGGCATTTTCCTCATCTTTGCCCCTTTCACTTCCATGTCCTGCTCTGAGCTTCCTGCTTTTATAGGAACCTCCTTCCCCCTCTTTATCACTACTGAAGCCTGGCTTCTTTTATATAGGAATCATCTGATTCCTCTTAGGTGGGGCTCATCCTGTAATTAGGGTTGGCTTAGCCCCTGGCTCTCCTGCCCATGGGATAAGGCACCATGTTACAAATCCCCACTCCAACTTTCAGTGGAGGTCAGATGGGGCTCCATTCTCTACACCTTATCTCTATAAGTGATCTAATTCAAAACAAAATATGGCTTTAACTATCATATTTTTGCTGGCAACTGTCTCCATCTATTTAAACTAAAATCTCAGATTTTTCTGTTATCTGCTTGTAAATGTGCAGCTGTCAATTCAAGCTCAACCAGGACCAAAACTGATCTCAAAACTGATCAAAACCACCCCATCTCATTCTTTTAGGGTGCCTCCATCTGAATGGAAGACCATCGCATTCAGGTTAACAACTTATAATTGTTCCTGTCACACCTCCCCTGACCTAGTCTGGGTGGTACATGACACACACCCAGTTAGCAAATGGCTGCTACAGTATACTGATGCATTCAGTGATACAGTAATTTTATAAACTTATAAAAGTTATAAGTTTTACATAAAGAACTTTCTCAAACTGTCAACATTATTTAAGCAGAGACCATTACTAGACTCATTGAATACTTCATCAGCCCAAATTATGTTGCATAAAGTTAGGCACCTAAATAAACGGTGCCTGAATTTTTCAAAGTTGCTGAACACATGAAAGAGTTCTGTATGTAAAGACTGTTTTTATGTATTTTTGTATGTATCACATTGCTTTGTTTAACAATAGATTGACATAGACTGTGCAGGTGAATGTTTGGAATGATTTAAATTTCCTACATAATAAATTCTAAACTTTATGTAGGCACAACACACTCATGGCTCAACAAGCTAAGAGGCCAGCTTATAAATCGTGATGCATTTGAGGCAGTAAAGCTGAATTCCCAACAGTATTAGAAGGGGCCAGCATAGTGTTACTCTTCTTACACACATACGCGCGCGCGCACACACACACACACACACACACACAGTTAGAGAGAATTTAGGAAATCGCAAAGGAACATATTATAAAACCTGTTACCAATTTTACTCTGAGGAGATTGGAACTACATTAGTTTTGTCACTTCCACTATATGCTGTTGAGAATTTATGTTGCTGAATGTGTAGAAAGGAAGAGATTTGAAGTTGACTAAGTAATGTAGAAACACAAGCAAAGAACAAGGAGAGGAGTCGGAAGTTACTAGTAAGATATCAGCATTAATGATTTTCACTACATGATATAAACTGATCAAAAATACACTGAGAATTGCATTATTCCCATTCCCAGAATGAAATTCACCCTCTTTTGAATACTACCTAATGTCATGAAAATTAACACTTCACAGTAATCTAAATTTTTTGATAGAACAAATATATTTCAAGTTCTAGTTGAACTATTTTATGTAGCATTGAAATACGAGTTAAAAGTTTTACGTTAGTTTATTTAATGTGTACACAGTAGGGGTATATAGCTCACAAGTATAGTGTACTTTTACTAAGTGTGTATATTTTTTAAAAGGTCATACATTGATGTTTTATAAAAGGTAGTTAAAGGGCACCATTATCCCTTTTACATGTACTGTATATGGACTGCACAGTTCTTAGCAGTTGTTTAGTAGGCCCAAAGTAGTCTGAATGGAAATATTAACATTGCTTAAGTCACATTGTAATTACTTTTAAAAGGTTTTGTTTTGCCTATAGTATTCATACTAATCTCTTAAATGCCCTTTTATTTGGCTGGATTTTAAACATGTGCAGAAATTGGTTTCTGACTTGGAGAGTGGCTGCCCTGTATCACCCCCTGCTGGCCTTGTGTTGCACTGTAGTCACTCCCTACCTCGGTTTCTCACCTCACGGTGGGTCTTCTTGGCTCTTTATGCTCTAGTCAGTTCTAGAGAGGTGTCTTAATCCTCCAACCAAGTCACAAAACAAGAAACTAAAGAGTGCCAACAAACAACAAGGTTCTTCTGCCCTTTGTGGCTTCTCTTCAGTCCCTTTCTGGGCCCTTTTCCCAGTCCCTGTCTGGATTGCCCTTGTCTTTTTCTGCTCTGAGTTATAGTGCTGGCCCCCAAGCCTCTGGAATTACGCTTTCCCTTCAAGGGGCTGGCTCAGGACCTTATATGAAAGCCTACTTGCTCTCTGTGGTTCCAAGTGCCAGACTCTACTCAGCCATTTTATAAGGTCCAAATGTTGCTAATTAGCTGCCACCCAGCCACTTAGATAATTAACTACTCATGGGTGGTACTGGGTTAGCTCGTTCTCCTTAGCGGAGCCTATGACCGGTACACTGCTCCTTGTCTCATCTGAAAGGACCAGCCCTCTGCAACCATGTCCAACAGTTTTCTATTTGAATTGAATATATGCGTAGGTATAAAGTCCATTTAATAAAACACTTGAAGCACTTAGTTTCCATTACATGTAAGCATCATGTAATTTTTAAAAAGTTAAACGTATTAGGATCTCAATATCTCGCAATATCCCCATTAGTAATTGGGGGGAGGGATAGCTCAGTGGTTTGAGCATTGGCCTGCTAAACCTAGGGTTGAGAGATCAATCCTTGAGGGGAGGCCATTTAGGGATCTGGGGAAAAAATCTGTCTGGGGATTGGTCCTGCTTTGAGCCGGGGGTTGGACTGGATGACCTCCTGAGGTCCCTTCCAACCCTGAAAATTCTGTGATTCTAAATTAAAACCAAATGTTGCTTATCCCCTTTCCTCTTCAAATACACATGGACACACAGATCCATTAGACACTGAGAGTGGTGAGCTTCCATCCAAGTTTCAGTCAGATGCATATTTAAACTTCCAAGTTACAAATGTTTTAAAAAAGAGCATTATAATGGAAACACTGACAACATCTTTACTATAGCAGCAGTGCCCAGTGCCAGTGAAATAAAAAGAGAAACTTATTGTGAAGTATTGTGATGCTTTTCTCTCCTAATTTACATGAGGAAGTCATACAAACAGGCACTATATATGTGAAAAATAGCTTTCGCTGCATGAAGATGGAGATATTTGCATATAAATCGCTAGAACATACACAATAGAATAAACAAGAAGCTTCTCCTTGAAACTTGTTGATTTTAAAAATGCTCTGATGTTTGCCTGTACTGTTTTAGCCTGTCTCTATACAATGACTGGGCCAGATTTCTATAGAACTCCAATGAGCATGAATATTAACAAGAAACCTGTTAAATGGGTGCCTTTAACCTCTTGCTATTTGAATTTCAGATCAGCCAATTGGTAGGCCAAAAATGAGGCTCCTTTGCTTGAAATGGTGTTTTGAGTTTTTGTGGTTTTGAAATAAAACTGCTTTTGAGATTACAATTTTCATTCTTTACTTGACTAGAGTTTTGTCCTTTACTTAAGCAAAGAGTTAGGGAACTGTAATGTATTTCTTTTATAAAAAGAGTACATATATCTATGAAGACTTGCATTCAAAGTTATTTCCTTTTCTTCACTTTCACAGGGAAATTGCTTTCACTAGGCAACTCTATGAAAAAGCTTCTGAGCTGTGCTATTACTATATGGGTTTCTACATTCATTCATGTCCTAAAATGAGATATAAGGTAAAAGTGTGTTTTTATTACTATATTAGCATATTTCATGCTATTTGAAATGTCTGACTGTGATCATCGTACTATTTTATAATTCTCATACTGGATTTTAACATGGATTTTGCAGGGTTACAGTCGAATGTTGGCTCTCTTTAACGTGGCTTAAGAGTTAATTTTTTTTTTGCAAATTTATTTGTATGTGGTATTGATTACAATTTGGCTTAACATTTCTTTCACTAGGAGAAGTTTTCAAGGATGTCAGATAGCAGTATGTCATATGATTGGTTATCTGGGTATCTCAGTTTTGCAATATGTCATGCAGTATACTCTTGTCTTTTTTAAAAAAATCACGTGACTGAAAGTGGGCAACAACAACATACCTGCATGGGTCTTGGGTATGCTTGGGTTTCTCCCATTTCGTATTTTGTAATAGGGACAGAGGAAGTGCTGTACTGGAACAAACCAGTGGGCACCTAGTTGAGTATTGTGTCTCAGATAGTGTCCAGAAGCAGATTGCTCAGAAAAAGGTGCAAGAATCCCATAATAGAGAGTTTGGAATAACCAACCCATAAGAAGTTTCTTCTTAACCCATGTTACTTTAGATTAGCTTATGTCCTGAAGCATGAGGGTTTTTGTCCCTTCTATTTTTGGTGCTCTCATTATCTCTATGAATGTACGTTTTTTTTTTTTGACTCCTACTAAACTGTTGATCTCAATTTTGTTGTATGTTTCGCAAAAAGTCTACAGAACAATGAAACAGCAAAATAAATGTGTCTTATTAATACATTTCTTTTGCTGGCTGAAACATCTTTTTCTAGCAGCTTAAAGGAATACAGCTGAAGGTAAAAGGCTCATTGCCACTTCTTAATAGATATTTGTTCAAAAATAAGGAATGTAAAGTTTGAACACAGTCAGAGGTGCATTTAGTTTGAACACTAATTGGTAGAAAGGATGCGAATAGACCTGCTGAGATTTCAGTTTCTGATACGAGGGCACTCTAATGTCTAAAAAAGCTTGTGCGCTTTCTAAGCTGTCTAATTGAAAATGAAGCAAGAGCCATCTCAATTTTGCTGTGACACATGTTCAGCATGTGTCCAAGATTACTCATTTCTCCCTAGCAGACAAAACAAGCCTGGTTTTGTATAAAAAAGTGAGCATCCCTTTTTCCTTTGCCAGTGTCAGTTTATCATCTGCATTCACCAGCCAAAGCAAAGAAACAGTTAAATTTGATGTAGACAAGTCAGTGAATAGCAATATACCACCTCTGTCTTCATGTCTCCTTAGAGTATCACATCAGTAGCTGAAACTATGGGTTTTAATTACTTGCCATGATTTTTGGTGTACATTAGACTTTTGGGATGACTCATGACCATTAAGGCACCAGAGTTTAACATCTCTAATCTATTATGCAATGCAACATTTGTAGAGGAATGTGTTCAACTTAATAAAGTATCCGAATAAGAAGAGAGACACCTATTTATAACTGATAAGACAAACACTGTGTCTCAACTCTTTAGGATATCATTATTAAGAATCACCTGTCAGCCACTGGCAGTAACTTTACTGAACAAGGTGAACTTTGCATCCCAGGTTTGAAGAAAGCTCACATACCACCCAACGTACTGAAGTAACCAACAAGCTATCAAACTGTAAAGACTAAATGGTGCAAATGTATGACTGACCTCCACAGCCTTTTTACAGTTACATTACTAACCACAATATAGCCTGAGTTCTAGTGAGGTAAATTCTACTGTTTGTTGTTAGTTTAAACTGACTCCAGTGAAAATTTGACCTTTTGTAGATGCTTCCAGCTTGCACGCTGTTTCTTGTTAAATTCCTACCATGGAAGTAGTGCTGATTTGATATTCTATGCCCTTTTTAGTTACTTGGAACCAAATTCTGTCCTCAGTTACACCTGAGCGACTCTTTTGACATCAATGGGCTTGCTAGAGGGTACTTGGTCCTTATTTAAACCTATATATCTCAACTTTAAATGTCCCAATTTGAAATTCTGCATTTGCAATACCAGAAAGATGTCAAAAAAACAAAAAAATCCCCCCAAAAAACTATACATACCCAAGACAAGTGCAATAGCAGAAGAGGAGGGAGAGTGGAGATTTATGGAAAAGGTTTCAGGTTTTTCTATTCAACAGTCACCACATATGATGTCATTGCAAACCAATTTGACATTAATTCTGTAATACCCCCCTCATTACTAAGAGTAATACTCTGGAAACAAATCTTAAAACAAAGCATTGAAACCTCCCCTATAAAGTGAGGAGTGGTTTTATATATGACTGGTGGTGGTTTTAGGGATTAAATAATTACACAAGAAATTTCTAATTGGACATATTGGTGTTAAATTGAATACTCTGCTTAATCCCGGTTTTAATAACTCCCTTCCTCCAATGATGCCAGTCTGGAAAAATATGAAGAGATGTGACTAGAAGCTGTTCAGCTGATGTCATGGTGAGCACAATCAAATGATGGAAGAGAGAAGATGGGGGCAAGGGGGTGCTGAGAGAACCAGTCATCCTATAATCTGCTCTGCAGGGTTATACATTTTGAGACCGTTTAGAAACTGAACATAGTTCACCGTGTGGCTATTCACCTATTAAGTAGTGACTTTAAAAGGGAATATATATAAAAACAACTTGCTGCCAACTTCAGCTGGAGTTGAAGATGTTATTGCTTTTAACCAATAAAGTAAAAAAGGGTTGGGATAGGGTTTCATGGGTGACCTCCCTTCTTTCTGTGCTATGCTGCTGCAGTTGATATATGAAGTCTTTTGAGCTGGGATCCCGCCCTTGGTTTTAAACAGAGGTGCTGCTAGCAAAGCATTTTCAATGAAGACACTTCAGTTTTGGAATTCAGACTCTCCCTGAATCATCTCATCTGCCAGAGTTCCAATCTTTTGATCTCCTAAATGGTTTGCTAAGACTACAGTTTTCCTTTGGTGTTTGGGGAAGGGGTGGCTGATGACCTGGGATGTATCAGAGTGATTATTTTATTATGATTTAGTGATGCACTTCATGTGGATGTAAAATTGAAGTCCTTGATCCTGTGTTATGATCCATGAGGGCAGACTGCTGTTGAAATAACTGGGCACTGCGTGCATGCAGCAGTCTGCTTTCATGAGTCCCAATCCAGGATTGGGGCCTTAATTGGTTGTGTTCAGATTAAAAAGAGACCATATTGTGCAAAGTGCCTACTGCCCAGGTGAGCATTTTAAAACCTTTAATAAAAAATGTGGCTCAAAGCAGAGAATGTAAACTCACATTCGTAAGCACCAGAACCCTATTCTGACTTGGCACTTTTATGGAATGCTGATCACTGACCATATCCCTTTTGGACATTGTTTCTATTGTTGAGACCATGTAATATTCCAGCTGAAACATTTTAGAACAGAATTGTGTAGTCACTGTATAATAATGGCTTCCTTTTTCCTTTGTAAGTAAGTGCTGGATTGCATTGTGTGCTATATAGAGAGCAGATGGGAGGTTGCCCCATCTGTAGTTTTTATACTCATCACCATGGTGGTAATTGGGCCTCTGAAGTGAATTTTGCTCAGTTAAAATTAGAGGCCTATATATTGTATATCTTTTGTGTAATATATTTTTATAGTTAATGTAAATCCTTATGCAAGAGTATCTTGGTTTGGGCAACCCTTCTTTAAGTATAGCCCGGGCTTAACCCCAATAATGTTTTTAGCAATGCTGAGCAAGTCTGTACGGACAATGAATACATTACATCTTTAATGGTAAATGTGGGCCCTTTTCATTCACGAGATGCTGTTTCCACAAATGCTCATATGACTCTTGGCACACAGTGATAAATAATGTGTAATGCTGGTTGAAGATCAGAGGCTAGAACATAGGGAAATAGAATCCTCTGACCCTAAGTCCCATGGCACTATAACAACACTTAACTATTCTGACTTCCAGGCAAAGGGTTGAATGACTAAAGGATAATTTTTCAGCCCTGGGAATCAAGCATGTAGCTACAGTAGTTATTAAAAAGGAGTAATGTTTGACACCACCACCTCTCAGATCTCCCATTTGACTGTAAATGTGTCTTAAAACAGTAGTTATAGCACCAATTAAATTATTGTTAAACTGGAAGTGGGGAACAGGAATGTTCAAAAACCCTGTCATATGAGTTTTTTATATTCCCATCACTTTCCAGATTTGCTTCCATAATGGGTTAATATTTATTATTTGGTGAAATAAAACCCCCATAAAGCACAAATTTAAGGATTTCTGTAAGCCAGTTAACCAATATGTTAGTGTGTGGAAAAAATACAGTGAATAAACATTAAGCAGTGATATTATTCCATTTATTTTAGGGTGGAACTAAAACTTTTTTTATGCAACCTCATGAACTTCTGGTAAAACTTTTCAGACTTACTCTGTTAAATGTGATGGTTTTTATGTTGGAAAAAGTAGTCCGCTGGAAAGTTCAAGAATGTCAGTGTTTCCACGTTCAAAAAAGCTCTCCAAGATTCATAATGCATGGTGCCTTTTTTCTTAGGCCTTTTGGAGTCTGTGACAAAGCTCCAAGCACAAAAAAGCATTTTATTTTATAGTGATGGTGGTTTCGTGATGGTGTTCCCGTGTATTTTAACAACTGTTAATATTTCCCAGTTAAAGGTCTGTGTTTACTGGTACAGTGATGAGATCAAATAACCAAATTCAGCTAACAATCACTCCAGAGAGATCCTTGGGAAGGATCCTTTCTCTCTCTCTATTGAGCCTCCATTTGCTGCTTCCTGCTTTGTAATTCAGAATGGAGAACTTCTACTGGTCAGTGGCTACACATGCTTAAACAACCTCATTCTTCCAGTCTTTTCTGACTAAAGGTCCCCAAAACAGTGTATTTTGCTTCCTTTACACTTTCTGTGACTGTTGCATCCTGGCTCTCTAGTGGTTGGTATCAAACTGCTTTTTGTTTCTGCTGTTCTGGTTTCAACAATTAGTGTGTAGTTTGCTATAAAATAGTATTGACTATAAAAT